CATAATTGAATAAAACAGGAGGATGTTCATGACCATGAATCTCATTATGCAAAGAGATTACTGGGCCTAGACTGATAAGAACTCTGCAAACTCAGAGGATCATCACATTCCAAGCGAAAGGTGAAACGTACACTGTGAGGAGGACCTACGGCCTTCCTCCCAGAAGACCACCCCCCACGATTTGAAGACCCCTGACCGTAGATTTAACAACTTCTGCGCAAGCGTAAAGGACTGATAAGCTAATTACCATATGAAGTGGGAGTAGGCGGGTTCAAGTAATGAATATGTATATGTGTATAATGACTATGTAATACTTTGTAGTATAAGATTGAAACTGTGCGCCCTGGAAGGGGCAGTCCGTTGTTGGAGAAGGAGACTCCCCGGCCGCCCAGCGCTGTTTTGCTTGTTGCCGCTTGCTAAATAATAAAGAAATTGGGAACTCTGACTCAGCCAATTTTAAGAAGTCAGTTTATAACACACGAAACCAAAAGTAATTACATTGTTCTTATGTATAATTACATTACTATTATCACACATAATATATTCATAGCTCTCTGGGCTGGGAGAAAGCCTAAGATCTAAAGATAAATGAAAAACAGCAGTCTTTTATCTGATACCATTTCCATGTGTAAAGACCAAAATAATGCTATTAACATCAGCATGGCAGAGAGCAAAGCATGTTCTAGCATCGTTATTGTGAAAAACTTTGCATACCAAAAGGCTCCCTGGCTATCTGGCAGGTTGTGCCAGTATTCCTCACCTACAGAGATGAAGATCTACCCCAGTTCAGAGGTGACCTGACAATGAGCTGTGACCTGTGACCATTCAACACATACAAACCTCTTTTTAGATACAACTCCCTTCTTCACAGGCAACTTTAGATAAGCTTTCCCCTGAATCACAGGGCAGGCTTGCTAACTGCAGCCTCAGTGGGACTGCAGCAGGACCTGTTTGGGGGGCAGACTATTGAGACCCCACATAAGGTATGAAAGGGAGCACAGCTCCCAGAATTCCATGTATGTTCTCACAATTTACTTTTATAAACACTGGTAGCACATATAAGTTAGATACAAAATGCAGCTGTATTTGTCCTCCAGAGAGCTGAGACCAGAGAATCTGTCCCATCACCTCATAGCCGAGGGAACAGACCCCAGCATGGGAAACAGCTCAGGGGCTGCATCGCTGAAAAGGAAGAAAGTGTGCTCCATCCTTTTACTGCGGCTGGGAAACCCTACACTCTTGAGAGATGTGAGAAAACTTATGTTGGAGAATTAGGGACCCCTCTTGCTCCCCTTCCCTGCACTTTTTCAAAGCTGAATCCTGCCCAGCTTTTACTGAACCCTGGTATACAGCTGTCGCGGATGAAAGTATTGACACGGTAATAATTTAGGAAAATAGTCTAGATTTATTAATAACTAACAACTATTTGTCAATACAAAATAGAAAGAAAAGCAACTTATTCAGGTTCTAAAATGACAAGATTCACTCTAACTTACTTAACAGTACCTTAATTTATACACATATATACATACGCATACACAAACCAGACATATACATACAGAAACAAAGGGGTTTGGATTCGGTAAAATGAACACAAAAGGGACAAGCACAAAGGAAAAAGGGGAAGTGTACGTACCCCCACCCCCCCACTAAACAGGTGAAATAGAAGCTAGCTCAAAGTAAATTTCCCTCTCGAGTTTAGAGCAAATACTCACATTGCCTTGGCATTCCTCAACAGGCGATAATTGAGACTCTAGCAGGGGGACTTCGCCCTGGCCTTCCGTCTGGAGCAGACGACACCTGAGAGGCGTCCCAGCTCAGGGGAGATGCTGGTCACAGGCCAGCTGTGATCCAGGAGAACTCAAAGGGTCTCTCTGGTGGTCACAGTTTATAGGGTCCAAGATAATTGACTTTTGTCAAATACTATCTGGTGCCTTCGGGCAGTTGCACAAGAATTTGAATAATATGCAACCCTGTTACTGTTCCATCTGATCACATCCCAGGCACAGGTGTGTCAGGCCCTCAGGAGATGATGGGCCATTATAACCTTTTCCAAGCAATTGGGGGGGGCAGGAGCCAGGCTCCTCAAGGTTATCAGTCCTTATCTCCACAGATTGGTGTATGCCTTGGGGGAATGTGGATGGAATCACACCTGGCACCAAGCAGCCCAAGGAGGGCAGGGAGGGGTAAGAATTGCACCACCACAATCCACCCCGTGACTAAAGTCAATTTATCTTGTCCATAGAGTGGCAGTGTGGTTGCCTCTTGCCTCTATGCCTATAAACAGAGGATGCCATAATCTAATTATAATTGAAGGAAATTTTGTGTTTGATTAGCTTCAGAAAAAAAAAAATATTTTGGGATAGTATACACACAGGGATACTTTTGTAACTGAGCAATTTGTTTAACCATTCTCCAAACCTTAATATACAACACAATTATGAGCAGTAAACATACTAAAATTAGAATTAGAATTAGGAAAATCATGACCAGGTGGAACATGGAATTAAACAGTCCTGTTGTGGTCGGCTTTCCCACCATTGATCTTCTCCATCCCTTTTGACTCTTGTTAGCACCTGATGAATTTCTTCTATATCATACTGGACCGTGATAAGAGTCTTTTGTCCAGTTTTCTGTGCTTGTCACAGAAGGAGGTCAATTAGGTCAGGATGTTGGAGAAGTTGCTTAATGATGGTTAGGCTCATCCCAATAGGTGTAGGTTGTAATTCACGATATAGCATGTAATCGAAAGATAAGTCATCATGGGTAGTTATTGGTACAAAGAAATGAAAATCACAGCCAGTAATCACAGAAAAATTACACACACATAGATTGTACTTAGTGGTTATGTTATGGACAACACCATCTACTAATAAAGAATCACATAGTGTTCTCATACAAGCACATCCCTTTCCAACATATATGACAATGGTTTCAGGGGTTTCGTTTGGATGGATTTCAAAATGGCAAATGTTCTGTTCAATATCAAGACAAATGTCTTGGGCTTCAAGAGTATTGCCTTCACAGATGAAGCCATGTTGTTCTCGCACAGTACATGCATTTACATCAATTGTTTGCCATTTTCCTTCCTTTTGGTGGGCCCATACTTTGTGCTCTAAGGGATAGAGTATGTTTCTGTTGTAATTTAGTCCTAATGCAAGGATTGGGTATGTTTTACACTGAAGCATTGCGTATGGTGAGGACAAATGCGATAATCTTATTGCTTTCTGTGTAGTGAGTGAAGTTGACTAATTGCCACCATGACTGAAATTGCCTTTCAAATTCTGATGCGTTGTCCCAGATCAATTTACGGATTTCAGATGAGAGGGTCCCTCCTTCTCCTTCTCTAATAATGGCTGCTACTACAGATTGTATCCACAGTTGTGCTTGGATACAATTTAAGGCAAGAGAAGTATTACTTTGGGTTGCTCCAAGAGCTTTTGTAATTGATTGATGATCATTTTCTTCAATGCATTTCCAGTGAGGTAAAAGGTCTGATAGAACCCATTGACTTGTTCCTAAGGCTGATAAAGATGATTTTAGTGGGTGTTCTGTTTTTATTAGGTCTTCAGTAGTAGCAGTTAATTTGTTCATTAGGATTTCAGTGTCTATGGTGTTTAGTATTCCTAATCCTGTTCCTAATAACCCAGTGGCATCTCGTCGTGTACGCTGGTATTGTTTTAGAGATCGTCCATGTAACCATGCTAACCCTCCAGTGTGGGCAACTTTTAGAAAGGCAGAATACTCTGGTTTAAATTCTGACACATCAATTTGTAGTGCTAGTTCCACTCTTTTTAGAGAGCAACTGGGGTTAAAGAGGACTTGTTGTTGTCCTATATTTTTAATTATGTAAGGACCTGTATTATAAATGCGAGGAGATAATTTAATAGGAGGTCGAGTTGGTAAAGATGGCTGTTGAATTTCAATTTTGAATTGGAGGGCCAACCTGAAATGAGACTTGGGGTCTGCTGAAATACATGTTATAAATGTTGAGTGGAATATAGTGAAATTGTACCAACATTCGTGCCCAAAGTGACAGGTACGTGTGTGTGTGTGTTATCAGGACCATTCCCCTGCCTTCCTCTAGCATAATCTACAATGATATGTGAAGCTGTTGTACATTGAGTGTGATTCTCAATTCGTCATCCTATTGAGATAGTGTCTCCGCTTGTCCCCTTTAGGTGTGGAATTTTCAAATCTTTGTCTTCTGTTTTTACGACCCATTTTTGGAAGGCAAAGTTATTGCGTAGGGCTACTATAGACAAATTTAGAGATTTAGTAAGAGGAGTATGGGGTGTATACTGACTGTAACTTATATGAGCGTGGGTCCATGGCCATCCTGTTGTACACGGGTTCCACATACTATGTGTGTTAATTGTAAAATCAAATAGTAGCTCCGTATTTCTATGGCCCCACATACAAAGTGCAATTACAGGTTTAGAAAAGGTAAAATTGTACCAACAATCTAGATTTGGGTCCGTTATTCTGTAGCAATCGTTGTTGTTTTCTGGTTTAGTAAAATATCTTAATTTCTGTTGGTCTGTGGTAAGTAGGTCCATTGATCACTCGACACCCAATTTGTATTCTCTCTCCTGTTGTGGCTTGAAGTTGTGCCATTTGCTGAGAGCTCTTCCATCCCCATTCATTCTTTGTATATACTTCCCTTTCATGTAGAACTAAAATAGCAAGATTTAAACTTGCTTTGTCTTGTGGTGTTTTGATACTTCTAGTGTATCTTAGTGTTGCAAGATCCCACGGATTTGATGTGTGAGCTATTGTAAATGTACTTACTCCCATAAGTAGGAAAAGAGAAGAAGCAGCATATAGCCTCCATCGTTGTAGTAATTGATGTATAATGGTGAGGGAGAGAATGGGTAGGCACAATGCTGCAGAGGTTCTCATATTGGAGATGGGGGTTGTGTCTGTAGTGTTGCTGATAGGCTTGCTGGAGGTGGTGTTTGTTTCTACGATGTAGTTGGTTTTATTTCTGAAAAGGAAAGAAAAGAAACTGTCTTGGAGGGGGGGGGGGGGGGCTGAACAGGTTATGTTTGTTGATTAGGGATATTAATTAGACTTAGACACCAGGGTGAAAGAGTCGGTGTCTCTACTTGAAATAATAATAAGATAATATAGGAAAATATATGATAAGACAGAATAGTGCACTTAAACAATTAGGAACATACAGGGTAATGCATCAAATCACTACTGCCAGGGAGAGAATAGTGATTAAGAAAGATCCATCACCACTTGCATACTTTACTATCATCCAGATCCGCAATTGCTGGGTAGCCCCAGTCACAGTGAGGATTTGGGGAGCCTTTCCCTGCAAATGGGAAGTCCTACGTGGTGCGTCCACCCATAGGTGAGGCTTCCAAAGTCGCTGTGAGCAGATCCAGCCTTGTATACTCAAGCGGAAACATCTGGTTTCAATCTCACATTAGGTTCCCCCCAGAGCCTGGCCAGGGCTCAAGGAAGAAGCCAAAGGAGTTTCTCTGCTTATCTGACGGGACTATGTGCAAGGTCTCACATCAGGTCTCTGCGACAGACACCTGCCTACATGACTCTGTTGTTCTATTCACATACAAAAGGGAAGGAAAGATACATTCAAGACATCCTCTATGTATGCATCATTAAGGATTACATTCTAAGTTAACAGTTTTGGTTCAGGGCCTGTTGATTAGGCTTCAACACTTCCACCCTTTACATCAGGATAGGTGGTTTATTATAACTTAGTATAATACCTGTTAGCATGTTCGTTATCAGTTATAAAATATACAGAATTCATTTATATATCAGCTCTGACTTGGGCCTATTGTCCAAGCCTTAGCACTTCAGGTTACCCCTTAGGATGCTGGATAAACCCATCTAGTACTGATTTTATGTTTTATTCCATTATTATCAATAGCATCCCATGCTAGAAGTCCTCGTGGCTTGACCAGGGTTACTGGTATTGTTCCTACAGTTGGTATTTTTGCCACCACAGGCTGTCCTGCTTTCATTGAGGAGCAGGTGTGCTCATTGTTCAGGGTTTTTTCTGAAGAAGGTGTTAAGAAGGCTCGAGTAATTGGACTTCCATAGGGACCATACAGATTATTTAACTGCTGTGTAATTTCAGAAAGACGGCTATCCCATTGTCCTTTATGTGGTTGAAGATACTTTTTTAGCAGTCCATTGGCTCGCTCAACTATACCATTGGATTGTGGGTAATAAGGTGTATGAAATACCCACTTTATTTCTCTTTGCTTTGCCCATTCTTGTACTTCTTTACTGGTAAAGTGCGAGCCATTGTCACTCTGGATAGAATCTGGGACGGGTAAAATGGAGAACCATGAGGAAAGGCCTCGAATAGTATTCTGTCCATTAGCCTTTTGGCACTTGGTAGCTGCAAGAAGTCCAGATATTATTTCTACACCTGTTAAAATATATTTGTACCCAGCAGAGGATTTTAAAGGACCAATGTAATCAATTTGCCAAGTGGATCACAAAGTTTTCCCCTCTTTAATGTGTAAAGGTGGTGCTTTGGCAGGATGGTCCATCTGCAATTTTGATTTACACATGGGGACACTCAGTGAGGATGGTTTCACATGTTTTTCTACTGAGAGGCCATCCCTGGCTTTGAGCTGAAAAGTAAAGTGCTTCTCGACCTGTGTGGCCTAATTTTTGATGTAACCATTCTCCTAATTGATACCATGTGGGGTTTGAAGAATTTTCAATGTCTATTTTCCTAATTTTTGTCAATTCATCCACCCTTTGGTTCCAATTTGTAGCTGGTTTATTGTCATTAGCATGGGCTTTTACCCATCCTATTTGGAATGGTGTTTTTCTGGCCATGGTTAATAGTAACTGCCAGTCTGCAGTCCTCCAGATTGGTGATTTATTTATCTCCCAGTTTAGGGCTTCCCACTGACAAAGCCACCGTGTGGCACCTGCCCAGACAGCATAAGAGTCTACATAAATGGTTTTTGCTTCATTTTGTGCTGCCAAAACAACTGCTCTTAACTCTCCTACTTGAGCACTGCCTTCACCTTCTTCAATAACTTGTTTGCCTGTTTTGATTTCTAATGCAACAGCTTTATATCGCCATTTACTCTCCACTCTTTTTGCTGAGGCATCGGTAAACCAGACACCCTCTGTTGGTGAATCTTCAGTGAAGGGGGGTGCATCTAAAATTGGTGAAGGTTTAAATGGTTGTTGTAATGCTAGCGGGTCAGTATTAACAGGCATTTGTAATTTAGAAACTTTTGTGTGTCCTTCAGTTAATTGCATTTCATCTGCCACGCCCACTAGATAGGCATACCATTTCCTAATTGTAGGGTTTTGTGCAATCCCTCTGGGGGAGCAGTCCCTTTTAGGATTGTGTCTAATAAATTAAAGGGACCTCTGGTCTGAACAGTTTGTTCTTGACGAATTTTCTCAACTTGTTTAACTGCACGGACTAAAGACAAAAGACCCTTTTCCCACTCTGAATATCTTTGCTCTGTCTCTTTAAATGCAGTTGAGCTAAACAGTAAAGGTCTCTTTGGCCCCTCAGGGACGATTTGAAATAAGTTACAGTAGATACCATGTTCCGCAAAACCCCATTCCGCTATAATAGGATCATGAGGATGAACAGGTCCTAGGGACTGATATATTTTTAATTCTAGTAGCAGAGTTTTAATTGCTTCCTCGTGTTCTGAGTCCCATCTCCATGATTTTCCTTTTCGTAAAAGTGAATACAGTGGACGGGCAATGATGGAGAATCCAGGTACATGTTTTCTCCAATATCCTAAAGTACCCATTAGAAGTTGTAATTCTTTTCTAGATTGTGGCATTTCTGATTGTTCTATTTTATTTAGAGTATCTGGTGGGATTGCTGCACTTCCAGCAATCCACCAAGTGCCGAGGAATTTCACTTCTTTACTTGGTCCCTGACATTTTTCAGGTGGAATTTCAATTTGTGCCTCATGCAATGCTTGCCAAACTTGCTGCCACCTCCCCCACCTTGTTAGGAGAGGTTCCTCCAATTAGAATATCATCTATATACTGATAGTTTTACCTCTTCAGGGAGTGAAACTGTCTGTAAAAGTTCAGCAAGCGCAGCATGAGCAATTGTGGGTGAGTGTTTATATCCCTGTGGGAGTCTGTGAAAGGTATATTGGATACCCTCCCATGTAAAGGCAAATTTTTCTTTATCTTCTTCCCTTAAGGGGACCATGAAGAACATGTCTTTTACATCTAGCACTGCCATCCAAGGATGAGTGGCGGCTGGTAGTGTAGCCGTTAAAGTTGCACTGTTGGGGACTGCCACTGTCAGTGGGGCTGTATTAGCATTTAAACGCCGATAATCGATTGTTAAACGCCACCTCCTGTCTGGTTTATGGACTGGCCAAACAGGAGAATTGTACGGGGAGTGAGTTTGGGAAATAATCTGTCGTTTTTCTAAGTCTGCAATTACTTTAGAAATCCCAGTTTGTGCTGCAGCAGAAATAGGGTACTGTGGGACGTTAGTAATTTTTGATTCGGGAAGTGCTGGAGCTGCACGGAGTACACGCACTGTGGCAGTTAGTTAATTTTTGTTAGGGTGAGGGTTGGCAATTGAACCGAAGGACCACAGGCTGCCGTCTGGCAAACGCCAGGTTCGGCCGTTGAATGCGTCAAAACCCAGGATGTTTTCATAGTGGTCCTTCATCACAAAACGAAGAGGTGTTACACGTTTTTCGCCAGGGAGCCACAAATTAAGTTTTGCTGTCTGGCACACAGTGCTAGTTCCTGTAACCCCGGTAATTTTAACCTTTCACCGGCTAGGTCGTATGCCTAGCTTGTCAGCATGTTGCTTTGTAATTATTGAAATTTGTGCACCAGTATCAATTAAAAATTTTATTAATTGTTGCTGAGGACCAACTGGAATTAGAATGTAAGGGCCGTTCTCATTTACCCACTGATAAGCTTTTACTTGCCGGACTGGCAGGCCCAATTGTCGTCCGGACCTTATCAGTTTTTTGATTTTGTGTTTTGCAACTGATCCTCTTGAGGGAGGAGAGGATTATCTTTTTTCCTGGGAGCTGGCGGTGGGGAAGTTGGAGTATTTGGAGCGTTACATCTATGAAATGCCTGAATTAGGCTCAGAATGATGCCAGTAGGCTGCCTCTGAATCGCGGCTCTAGGAATTCCTAGTGACAGTGCTTGCTTCCATAGCTCATTTCTCCATTCCTGACCCCTGATTGTCAGTCAGGGGGGTTTTGTTCCTGAGAATTATTTTGATGCAATTGTTTAATTTGCCTTACAGTGTGACCTGTATTTTTTGTTTCATTGGGAATTTCATTCCATCCCATTTCTCGGGCATGGTTTATAGTTTCATTCTCTAATGTTGCCCAAGTGGGTAATCCTTTTAATTCTAAGTCTACTTCCTCACTACTATCAACAGTTCATGGTAGATTTATCAATTCGTTATAATTTAAGTCTCTCTGGATCTCATCCCGTTTTGCAATGAGAAAAGGTTTGAGCATGGCAGGGGCTCCTTTTATCAGTAGTTTGAGTATAGCAGGAGCTACAGGTGCCGAAAGAGGAACATCAGTAGGATTACGCTGATGCATGGCTTGGATACTGTGAGAAACTATGGACTAGGGTATTGTTTATTAAGATTTATGTTAAGATCAATGTAAAGGTTAGGCAACAAAAGATATGAAATCGCTTATGCAAACAGCTACCAGACACCGCTTGTGTAAGATAAGATAACCGCAATCGCTTACACAAACTAAACCAGATACCGCTTGTGCAAGATAACCGCCAGATTTCCAGGAACCGACAGAAACA